GGTTGTGGTAAAGAGTGAGAAGAAGAGGCTCTGAATCTGCCACTCAAAGGAGAAACCTAGGAGTATAAATTCACTCACAGAAGCAAAACTGGAGTCTGGCTTGGAGACATTCATTGTGTCAGTAATCTGCAAATTTAAGAGAAACATTATTATCAATATGGCTCTTTTAAAATGTGTTTGTTTTTTAAGAATGAAGAGAAGGAGGGCCAAGGGCATGTCATTTGCCAAAAAGACCATCTGTTAAAAAAATAATTTAGTTTACCCTTTCTTGACCATCTACCCTGTTTCTTGTCACAAGCAAACTTTTGCCTACTTGTGAGCCTCTCTCTTGCTACATGGCCATGAAAGAAAGAAGCAAAGTTAAACTCATTTTGTAAGTGTGTTGCTTTGCATCAGGGTTGATCTATGATCATTTCTGGCAAGGACTGAGCACAAAATTAGCACTTGATAAATGCATTAGCTTCTTACCTCCACCCATCTTATGCAATGGAACCAGGAAAGGAGAGTTTAAGTTCAATATGACTATGTGCAACTCGTTAGAGGTCTTTTTATGTTCTATAAAGATGCAAAGGAAGCAGATATTTTTGGAGTAAATTGGCATTCCTTTAAAGTAAACCCGCTGGTTGTTGCCATAAGCGTCATACAAATGTAATTGCATGCATTACTTACCAACACTGACTATGAAGGTTGTGATGTGGCAATCGCTTCTGTTGATAACAATGGGCTTATGTTTATGTCTAATCTTCCACGTTTAAAGAAAATTTCAAAAGTTAAGATAATTAGAAGCTGTATTATTTTTTTAAATGGCACCTGTTCTCTAAGTATGCAGGATAGATTTTCCTTATGTGCTAGGGCAAAATGAAACTAAATTCACATGACTGAATCTGGGTGAGGAAGTCCAATCCTTTTTCAGTCATGAGTAAATGCCATTCACTTCCCATCACATGGAAAAGATGTGGGGTATCAGGCATGGGAGTTTGGTGAGGGTTATTTTGTTTGTTTTTGGTGATATTTAGTGATATAAATCCCAGAAACTCTGAGTACTTAATTTCTGAGCATAAACACAAGATTTTCATAGCTATTTCTCCCTCCACCTACTGTCCACTCCTCTGTTCTGGGGTGTCGTTTGAAATGGTGAGGTGGAAGCTGTCTGTGCTTCGTCCAGTAACATGTATCTCTATTTAAAATATCCTAAATTAATGAAACCCTCATTAAGAAATTATGCAATGACGGGGTTGGCACAGGGATGTCAAGAACCTCAACAATGCTTAAAAGATGACGAGGATTAAATCCCTAAAGGAGCTGTTTGAAGAATCTTATGACTTCTGTCTCCAGCCAAATTGAGCTTTATTACTGCACAATAGTTAAGCATGCAATTTCCCCTTCACATATCCACCTGGGACTTGGCCTCTGTAGCCTCCCAACCTTTAAAATTTTAATGATTTCATGCTCTCTGAGGAATAAGTGTCAAAGCGACTGTTTGTGGCACCATTGTTTGCAAATCTGGACTCTAAGGACGATTAAAAAGAGACAGTTTGGGGAACTCTAATATGCTGTGTCATCAAATGACCAGAAGTGAAGTTGTGAAATATTTCAAGTCCCTGTTGTTGGGTTGGAGGAGGCAGAGGTGTAGTGTTGAGAGCCAGGTGAGGGAAATGTTGAGTGAGGGAAATGTTGAGTGAGGGAAATGTTGAGTGAGGGCTAAGCCATTGTAGGACATGGACAGCAAAATTTGGAGAAATCAAAAAAGACTTTTTAGACGTGTTGCTGTTGTTTTTGTTAGGTGCACCATCTTTCTCTGGAGGATTGTCTGGTGGTTTTGAACTTTGGATCTTCATCATGGCTAGCTTTATTTATTTATTTGTGGAAGTGCTGGTGATGCAGGCACATTTCAATCAGTAGAATTTTATCTAGCAGTGTTTTAGAGAAATGTTTAAAATGTAGCATTCCTGATGAGATGACAGGTATAATTCCATATCTTCTCAATCATGTGCATAAAAAGATAAAATTATGGGATAAAAAATCACTGGGTAAAAGTAATATGGATAATCCCCCACCCAAAACAGGGTAGACTGCATACTTTATAGGATCCAGTAACATGAACATGCTGGTAGAAGATCATAGCTGGGGACAGCAGTAGAGGTTGGATGAGGGACTTGTGTTGAGTCCTCCTCTGTGTATGCATCCCACACCAGGGCAGTGCTCCAATACTTATCCCTGGGACAACGTGGGTGCCTGCATGGTCCTATCTCTTCCAGTGCCTATGCTCAGGGCCCCACAGAAAGGAGGGTGCTGAGGTTGGGGACAGGTATGGTGGTGCTGGGTGAGGCACCAGGGTTGAGGGGTTGGGGTCTCTCAGGAAGCAGGAAGGAGGCAGGACATTCCCAGCATCTGCCATGTATGCCATTGTCCCCTCAGACATCACTTACCAACCACAAATTCAAAGGCACAATTATTAAGAATTTTAGAGTAGTATCCACAGGCATCCAAAGCTCAATTGAATGTGGGGTTCTGTGGGCCATTCTGTGTACCAACCTTTGTTTTAGCATACAAGGCGGAGGCAAATGTAGAAATGAGAGCCTCTGAGTTTGAGTGGCAGCTGAGGGGCTAGAAGGGTCCAGTGGAGAGGCAGGTTGAACAGAAACTGCTACAGAGAAACTTGAAAGCCTGGCTAAGGATTCATCCACCCTCCTAGGGGGAAGAGGATCCTGAAGAAGGGTGAGGAGGGAGCAGAAAGTAACTTGCTGATGGGATGCTTTAGGACAATTGATTTCCAGTATGAGAGTTTTCAGAAGTTGGTACCTCCAACTCCTTAATTTTTGGTGTTTTTTAGACTTGAAACAACGAATGGGAAGCTCAAAGCAGGGCACTGGCGTGGAAGCCATCTCTCTCTCACTTGTCCCTCCCATTCCACACACAAAGTGTATTGACACTTTCGACTTTTTTTTTCCACCCTTCCTTAACCGTGGATTTTTTTCTACTTGAGGTCTAATGAACACAACCTACAATTCAATAGTTGAGTCATATGAAGAAGGGCTGTGTAATCCTCACCACAGTCAACTTTGGAATTTTTCTCCTTTCCTTTTGACTCCCTGCTTCCTGTATCCTCCCTTCCTGTGCCCTAGGTAAGCACCCATGTTGTCAGAGTCTTCGTAATCCCCCGGGCCCAGTGTGCCTATGCTGTTAGATATACAGGCTAGGCCAGACAACCAATAAGGACCCATAGAAAAGGACCATATAAACTGAAGGAGACCTTGATCTCAGAGAAAGCAGATTGTATTAAAACTTTATATATGCAAAATGCTAAAAACTCCACTCAGGGAATGCTAGAATCAATAGAGGAATATGACAGAGTGGCAGGATCTAAGATCAACAGACAGAAGTCATTGGACTGCTTTCTACACTGGACAAGACCTAGGGGATCAAAAAGGTAGTATCCTTCATAATAACCGAGCACAAATTGAAATATCTAGGGATATACCTGACTAGAAACCCAAAAGATTTGCATGAGGAAAGCTACAGAACACTATTAAAAGAAACCAAGGGTGACCTCAACAAATGGAAGAATATCCCATGCTCGTGGAAGTGAAGACTCAATATAGTAAAGATGTCAGTTCTGTCCAAGGCACTGTGTGAGTTCAATGCTATCTTGACCCAAATATCACCATCTTTCTTCAAATAATTGGAAAAACTGATTATCAACTTCATATGGAGAGGGAAGAAACTCAGGCTTAGCAGTGAACTCCTCAAGAATAAGGACGAAGTTTGAAGGCTTGCCTTACCTGAGTTTAGCACCTACTAGACAGCCACAGTGGTCAAAACAGTGTGGTACTGGTATAATGATAAATATTCAGACCAAAGGAAAACGACCGAAAACCCAGAAATAAAATCATCAGCATACAGACAGCTGATCTTTGATAAGGGCCCAAATAATATCCAATGGGAAGCGGATGCCCTCTTTAATAATGGTGCTGGATAAATGGTTATCTACCTGTAGTGAAGTGAAGCAAGACCCTCACCCCACTCCATGCACAATAGTAAACTCATGGCAGATCACAGACCTTTAGGCAAAACCCCAAACTATTAGGACCATCAATGAGGGAATTAGAATCAACTTGTGAACTTTAGCACAGGGAACACATAGGCTAACCGGAATAGGGAAGGACACAGCACAGAGGAGGCCAAATCGACAAGTGGGGTATACTGAAGATAGAACACCAGTGTACTTTGAAAGAATTCACCAGGAGAGTAATAAGAGAGTCCACAGACTGGGTAAACATCTTTAGTAATGACACATCAGAGAAAGGCCCTATTTGTAAAATATACAGTACTCTGCTAACATATAACAAGAAAAAACAAAACTCAAAAAAATTGCTCACTGAGGAGGTGGTCAAAGGACCTGAAGAGAAGTTTCTCTAGGGCAGAATTCCAAATGGCCAATAAGCATATCAGAAAATGCTCCAGATGTTCCTACCCATAAGAGAAATAGGAGTTAAAAGAACTCCGAGATAATACCTAGCACCCTCAAAGATAGCACAATTCAAAGAATCAGAAAGAAACAAGTGCTGGAGCAGCTGTGGAGATATAGGATCTCTCATTCATTGCTGGGGGACCTGTAAGTATGTATAGCCATTATGGAAATTGATTTGGCGATATCTAAAACAGATGGAAATTGAGCTACCATGTGTCCCAGCAATCCCTCTACAGGACATGTACCATAAGACACAAGAAACAAACCACAGCCAGACATCTGTGCTCTAATGTTCATCACTCCACAGTTCACAATTGCAAGAAGGTGGAAACAACCAAAGTTTCCATCAATGGATGAATGGATTCAAAGGCAGCTGTACATATGCACATTGGAGTACTATGCATCCTTAAAAAGCTATGATGAACTCATGAAACACATCGCTGTATGGGAGGCACTGGAGGAAATAATGTTAAGGGAAGTAAGTCAAGCATAAAAGCAGAAGTACAACATGAGTCTGCTGAGGTCAGCAAAAAAAAAGAAAAAGAAAGAAAGAAAAAAGGGCATATGGGAAAAGCTTCTACATACATACTTTCCCGTGATTTGGTCCAGGTACTATGGCAGGTGCCAAACCCAACCCAAGGATAATGATGGCGGCCACCTAATGAGGAGGGGGAGG